TAACGAAGAAGTAGGTTTGTTAATAAACGAATATGGTTAACACTCGCAGTTTAATCGCTACTTCAAAAGCAAGAAATGAGACATCTCGCCCGTCTAGCCCAGTATTTTCTTTAGAATCCAATCCGCATAGTGATATGAATGTACTACTCAAAGTTGCTAACACTGCGAAGAAATTTGCTATTTCGACCTCAAAACTATCATCTGCCAGAGAAAATGAACAAAGTGGTATAAAGCCAGCATCTAAAGTATGGAAATATTTTAATCGTGTTGAAAATGAGACTTCGTTACAAGCCGAATGTATTATTTGTAAACAACGTTTAAAAACGCCGAATTACAGCACATCACTGTTTAAACATTTACTAAAACATGGTATTGAATATGAAAAAGGCGGTATGCTATGTACAAGAACTTCAGCAATGTCAAAAGAACAGAAAAGAAAATTGGATGATCTAGCCATTAAAGCAATAGTGCAGGATGGCCGATCGTTTGGTGACCTCCGAAAACTTGGAATTTCAAAGTTTATTCAACAATGCGCACCAAGTAAGTAAACCACTTTTATATTATTCTTCAACTGTAAGATTGGTTTGAGAAGCGAGAAAGACTTGATCCAATTCGAAATTAAATTATAACTGTTATATTCTGCTTCAGTACGCTTAGAGAGATACTATATCTCTCTAAGCGTACTGAAAACGATTACATAAGCGACATGAACATATACTTATTAGTGTATTACATCCACGGCTGAAAATATTGCGCTAAAGTCAAAAATACTGAAATTTTCCATAGTTAATGAACGACACTTCTCATTAAACATCACAAAAGTGGTCGAAAAGAGTTACACGAATTAAAAATATTTGAGAAAATAACGTGCATAACATGTGATGGTGCTCGAAACATGGTGTCGATGTTTTCAAATTTTAGTAGGGATGATATCAGGAGATTACATTGTTTAGCTCATAAACTCCATCTCGTTGTCTGTAATTGTCTTGGTACATGGATTAAAACGAAGGACAACTATGCTTCTATTCAAGAAGAAGAGCAAAGTGATGACGAAGACCGTCTAAGTCAATCTGTTAAACGCATTGATATTGAATCAGGTGAAGAAAGTGGAATTGAAGAGTCCGAGGAGGTAAGTCATCTACTACTGGTTTATTTTTGTCAAACAGTTATATGAGTCTTTCTGCGGTAAAAAGGCATATAAAGGTTGGAAAGTCTTAACCATGATTTATGTACTCATACTAAGAAAAGTCTTGATTTTGATCAAATCAGACATTGATAGAGAAAAAGCTTGATACAAAATTACTAGCATGTTATAACGTACTTCAACGTAGTATGAATTCTATCACTATTTAAAGGATCTCAACAAATATTGATTGCTAAATAAGTTTATTGCAGATAGAAATTTATCATTGTTTCAGAGGATTACCCAGTAACCATACATCACTCAAACAAACGTCATTGTTTGTGTCGTGACCGGCGACAACATACCAGATAATTGGTGCAGACAAACGGACGGGACCATCGTTCATCGTAGCCACAATTTGAGTGTATAAGCGCGGTGAAGGCGCAGGTGATGACACATTCATGGAAGTCCACCTACGATAGCCATACGAATAAAACCATAATTCTGGCTCATTATTCGCCGACCACATCATAAGCACCTTCTCACCAGTAATGGTTTGCGCTGAAATGGCCTCATGGCCGGCAGACGCAGGTGGAATTGGAGCAAATGCGGTGAGATTTAAAAATACGCCACTGTGAATATTGAAACTATAAAATTGATTTTGATTCCATCCACCATATATAACTAAACTATCAGTTACATCGAAGCTACTATAGCTGTTGTCCAATTTCAGAGCAACTGCGCTAAATAACCATTCTTGCTTTGGCACAAACGATGATGAGACAGGAATTGGGGTAAAAACATTAATACCTACTTCGTATTTCCAAATTTGCGTGTCCGCAGAGACATTTGGTACCGCACGATTCGAATTCACAAAGTAAATTTTACCATCCGACGTGGTGACAGCACTATTATTATCGACCATAATAGTTGTGCCGGCGAAACCATCATTCAATTTTGACCAGATTAGTGTTATTAAATTCAAACACCATACATCAGAGAATGGCGGCTGTGCATCATAATTTTCACCATATCGGCCACCGAATATAAGCATCGAATCGGGATCATATAATGGATCAATCCAAGCGAAATGCCCCCACCGAGCTAATGGTGGATCATTCCTTGTAAATAACTGGGTCCATTTCAATGTCGTCAAATTGAAAAGCCAACTGTCGTTGTAAGTTGGACGAATGTCCTCACAATGATTCTAGTCAGACGACAAAAAACATATGTGAGCTACGAATAACGACTGGTTTGTCTGACAGAACTTACCGCTCCACCATACATAATAATCGAATCGCGATATAGCACATTGGAAGGCGATGTGCGCCCAACCGGACCGTTTGGTAAATCACTAGCGACCAGCTGCACCCATTGTAATGCAGAAATGGACGTCGCCGCAAAAATAGCAAGCAAGATTAGAAAAATACGAGTCATTCTAAAGAAGAAAAACAACAGAATTAGTTTAAAAAAGTGCAAAAGATTGATAAAAGTCAACAACAGTATATGCGAGGTGCCAATGTTTTTTATTAAGCTTCAAATAGTTGCAGGAGAGTATCATGCAGACCAAGTCGAGCTATCAGCGCAAGAAAAACCGTTTTGACTTAGAAAAAACAAACTACGAGACATCATTACAAGTCCCACTAACAGATGTAGATAATATGTTACCGAAATACGAGTAACTATCGAAATTCCTTACCACCCCCGAGAACGTACTTGATTACTTGCTAAGTACTTGTCAATGATCGAAATACTTGCCTTATTGCTAAGAAGTACTTTCAGAAAGTATTTGGCAAGTAAAGACAAGTACTTACAAGTAAATTTACTTCTGGTAAAAAGGCAGGTACTGGCTTCATTACGCAGACGAAGTACTTAGCCCAAGTACTTTCTCTGGGGTATTATAAGGCAGCAAATCGTTGTGCAGATTCAAGTGACTCAATACGGGGAGCAAAATCTTAATTGTAAATCGAGCAACCATGGTAGATGCCTTAGTGAATGTACTTGAGATCAAGTACTTAGCTACTTGCAAATTCTCTAAAGCACTTGGTTAAGCACTTGTCAAGCATTTTTAGATTTAATACGTGCCAAACACTTGAAAGAACTTCGGATATTTGCATGTATTTCGCAAGTACTTATCAGGTTACCTGCCAAATACTTGATAAAGTACTTATCTCGTACTTATACTTGTTAAATTACTTGATAAGTACTTTTTTTACTTGTAAAAAACTCAGGTACTCTGGACATTACTTACCCAGGTAAGGTGCGCGTAATTCAAAGGTGGAGTACTATTTTATTTTTAGTTTTCTTATACATCATTCGATAGAGAATGTCACGCTGATCCTGAATATCACCCTCTTAGTCTTCCCAGTGCACAGTTTCACGTAGAAAAATTCGAAATACTACAAGGGTCTCAAAATCAAAAAAACTTTCATGTTTCGAAAAACTTGAATATCTTTTTTTCTTTACATTTTGAAGCTTCCAAACACCTTTTCTCGGATTCAGCATTGAAAAGTGAATTAGGAAATGTGTTTTCGAAGTTCTTCACATATTACCTGGTCGGTGCCAAAAATTCGTTCCAAGCGGTCGGGAGAAAAGATCCTCGCCGGAAAAGACCTATCTCCTTTTTTCTCTTGAAAGATGGAACCTATAATATAACGGCATTCGATCCACCATATCGCGGAGCACAAACCCACACACCCTTTTTTCGAAATTCTTTTTCTTTCTTGAGATATTGAATTTAAAACATTGTGCTTTTCACCTAAAGTCGGGCAGGTCATTTTGTAATAACTTTTCAGTTCTTCATATATATTTTTCACAGCTGTACTGCTGGATAGCCCTTGAAATTCTCTACAAACTAAGCGTGTCAGACAATCTAGATCGGTCTGCTCGATCATCAAGAACATGCAAAAAACGCGTTGGACCTACGGAAAAAGCCTGTGAAACACTCCTTTAGTCATTTTTCTATCTTAATGAGAAACTGATGTTTTTTTAAAGAATACCATTGAATAGCTCGCGCAAGTTTCTGCAAACTGAGCTGGTCAGCGTATCTAGACAGATGGGGTCAGTCATTAAAGACATGGAAAAGAAGCATTTGGATGTTATATATGCAGTACAGTGTGTCATGATCACAAGAACTCCTTTGCTTTGGGTTCAATGAAAGCTGGAACAAATCTGAATACTGTTTTGAACAGCCCGAAAATTTTCTTTCGGCTGAGGTGCATATCATCATTTTATGACAAAACTTGATGATAGGGTTTTTGTAAAACCAAGTCTTTGGTTTTTGGTCAAAAATTTTTGCAAACCAGATAGTCTGATAGATCAAAAAATTCTGAGCAAAATATGAGATCTCCCAGCTGTCTATAACGCCTTTTCATCCACTGCAGTCGATTTATGAATGGCTATAAAGGGCGTGAAAATTACCAAAATATTCCGGTGAAAAGGCGTTAAAGGCGTGTTTAAAAAAACCTTCTGATTCTTGTTCTTTCGTATGATATTGGATTACTGATAAGCTTCGCGTCATTTTTCTCCATGAGTTCAGCTGTTACATTAATATTTTGAAGCATTTCATTCGCCCACTTTATAAGAATACAGACTTATATCTTTTCTGCATTGTATCCAGTCCTCGATTGTCCGCATATGCAACGGAAACTTCACCAAGAGAAAGTTCAGCACTAGGAAAGACCAGTAGTAAGAGAGATAAGCGTAATTATTAGTGTGTCATAATTTGAAACAAAAGTTCAAACTGATAATCGATATGGAGCAAGTGATTGTTAGAAGATCGTTCTACGACGAGACCTGACCTAACTTTTTACGCGTTGTAAACCTTTTGGTATCGCAATAACTGTTCTTCTTAAAAATTGTCATGGCGCCTAATAGTTATGTTAAATTTAACAATAAGAATTCAGTAGGAATGTATCGGTATGATGGTGCAGATCAGAGGTAGAACTGGTATGAAAAAGTGAGACCGTTACTGGTCGCCGATTTTAAATTCCAAACCGGTGGCCAGTAGGTAAACCGATCCAAAAAGTATAAAAAAAAGACCTGCGGATTTCGTCTTGTTTTTTTTTTAAGTCTTAGGAATGTTTTTAGATTTTAGACGCTAGTTCAGGAATAACCACGGCTTGGCCAACTTACTCTACTACCGAAAACGATTTTTTTTGCATTTTGTCAAAAAAGATTTATTTTGAGAGATGCTTCCGCACTCTACGCACTCTTTCATTCAAAAGCTGTGATGAGAAGACAAACACCTACTCGGAAGTTTTGGAAATTACGTTTGAAGAGTAGGTGTTTGTATTTCCATCATAGTTTTTGAATGAAAGAATGTATAGACCGCAGAAACATGTAAGAGCGTGCTTAGATGGGCATCCCGCTGTTCGAAAATTATAAGAGAAATAAAATGCAAAAAAAATTGTTACCGAATTTTACAGCGTTAGCTGATCAAACCGAGCACCAAAACCCGGCTAGGATAAAGTAGTGGCTTAAGCGAAGTTGTAGACCTATGTAGAACTATTCTTATTAGGATTCCACTGTTCCCGTTGTGATTTGATAGAAACATATATTTCGATCGAAAATTGTTCTTGGGTTTACCACAAAGTCTTGCACATTAATGCTGGTGAAGCGTTCAAATTAAAAAGTACAATAATTAATATTTGAAAAGACGATTACTCCATATTATTTTCAACATCTCATGCAGATGTTTTAAAGCAACTCGATTGTATTGCCCATAATATATTACTGTAGTTTGTAAGTTATTATACATGTATAAAGATGAGAATGACAAGTTTTACGTATCCGTTTTATAATTAGCTTTATGTTTGCAGACATAATCTACACATAATTCCATATACAATTTATAGACAATCATTTGCTTCATATCCATTACCAGTTCGTACTTTTATTCAAAAATTATGATACACCAGTATTTGCGCTTATCTTTCTTACTACTGATTTTATCTAGTACTGAACTTACTCATACTGAAATTTCACCCTTTCTGTTCACGCCTGTTCTGTGATCTTATCCTGTTCCTGAACTAGTTTATCATCCTTACCCACCCTCTTTCAATTCTTAATTCTGCAAGGTGTTCTTCGAAATGAATACGACAATTCAGCTCTGCATCATTTGTATGTCGAAATTGCTATACCTTCAGTACATTTTGCATTCAGTATGGGTACTAGATAAATAAAGACATTAAATACTGTAGGTCCCATAGTCAAATAATTGTTTTTACGGAGTAACAAACTCACTCTCAGTGAAGAAGGCGCTTCGCGTACACAATGTTTAGGAAAAGAAACAGTTTTTAATCAAGTGTAAAAAAATTCTTTTGATAAGAATGACGAAGAACTAAAAGAATATCACGCCACCCCATGCTTACACAAGTGAAAAAGCTCGATGACATTAAACAAGAATGTGAGTCACCGTATTTGAGATGCACTGGTGCCGCACAGTGGACAACCAGGCAGATATAAAACGAAAGTGTTATTTTTCAAAGTTTAAGCTTTAGAATAATTACTTCTGTCTTTGATCTATCTTGTCCTGAAATAGCATTTTCAGAAATTAAATTGAACGTTGGAAAAACACATACTAAGAAATTTGTTGAAAAATCGCTATCCTCAGATAAAGTTAATTTTTTTGCCTACTTATTGGAATAGTTTAATTTGAAAAACTATCTGAAAAGAATTATTTAGCTTTTTTTCAGCGTCTGACTAGTTACGGAAATTGATTAAGGATGAAAATCTCACTTGAAATGTGTACACTTGAATCTGAAGGTATGTCAGTGCTAGCTAAGTGACTGAGGAAAGGGCATACTACTACGGAGAATACTTGAAGATGGAAAGTACTTAAAGTATACTTTAAGTATTTTTCGCAGCACTATGCACTTTTCTGACCCGTACTTTGCTTTTTCCTTCCTGATCATACGCTCAAGTTCCCCCACAAATTCGCTCGCAATTAAAATACACTATTGACTTTGTCAAAACAATTTAAAAAAACGCATTTTACACACTAAACAAGCTTTTGCTGGTTCTTGTCGAATTCGAAATGGCAAGTTTTTTGAAGCAGTTGTACGAAAATCAAAAACATTTCTCCCACCATTCTTTTCTGCTTAATTTGATAGCGGGCACTCGATTGCATGATGTTCCGTACAAATCAAATTAGAGAAGTCTTTTGACCGGGAGAAATTTAACGATAAAACCCACCGCAAAAAAAAAAAAAATGATGTAATTCCACCACGGAGCCATTTCGCTTGTTTCTTTTCATTTAAACATTTTTAGTCGGTTAGCCACTTCCTGCGTTTTTTCTTACTATTTTCTTGCTGAAAGTATTTGCCTTCAATTTCCCGTACATACTCAACAAACTTGGCCTATTTTTCATCTATTGACATGTTGCTATCATAATTTTCCTTTCTTTTTCTTTCAATTTGACATCGAAAATCTGCTGTTAATTTATCGTCATGAAGCTTTTAATAGCCGAGCTTCAAATGTTTTGGTTGCTGGTTTTCTGTCTACTTTTTAGACGGATTTTAATTTTAGTTCTCAAATGATGATGGTCAGTACCAATTGCTTTGTGATGGACTCTCACATCATGCAAACTTGTTCTGAATTTTTGATTGATCAAAACATAGTCCAACGTATACCATTCTTTATTTCCCGGATGCATCCAGCTTGCCTGATGTACTGGTTTAAATTGAAAAAAGATATTGGAAATTATTAAATTGTTTAGAGAACAAAAATCTACTAAACGCTGTCCGTTCTCATTTCTACAGTATGAGATCCAGACACATTTCCTGCGATTTGATGCTGCTGTTTTCAAATTCGAGCGTTAAAATCCCCCATAATCAATACCATGTCTTTTTTGAGCACTTTGCTAAGAATTTCCTGTAGACTCTTGTAAAAATTATTCCATGCTTCTATTTGGATTTTTGACCATTTGACGGATGTACCGATACATAGACTGCTATCACAGTTATATTGATAGGCTTACATCCAAGACGAACAATGATTATTCGATCATTAATCGCTTCCCATTCTGATCCAGAATCTTTCCATATATCCGTCGCTTCCTTGTTCAAACACACCGCTACTCCATAAGTCGATCTTGTCTTATTACCACTAGGAGTACCGGAATGAATAATAGTAAAATCATCGATTTGTGATGTACCTAAGTTATACGTGGCCGTCTCACTCAAGGGTGCCACTTGCATACGATTTTTTTTCAGCTGCTTAATCACTAATTCCCGTTTGGCTCGCCGAAAACACGAATGAACATTCCACGTACCGAGGAATGCAGTTTTACGTGTGCTCCCACCTTCTCGATTTTTTTCCATAGCCATAAATGTTTAATGTCCTGCCGACAGGGGCTAGCCTGATGACAAGACGGGTGGCTACCGGCAGTCCAGGAGTGCTCCCCACTACCGTAAGCAGTAATAGGACCCTGTGGGCAATTGTTTCCAGTTGACAATATTTATACTGAATAAAAGAATATTTCTACATATGATCACAGATATCGTACTGATGATAAAAGTTGGCTATTAAAAAGAGGAATTAAGGTCCAGATCTTTGAAAAACTCGAAGAACAGAAATGTGTTTTTCGATCTGATGTTTTCTGAAAAACAAATATCCCAAATAGAGATCTACAAAAATGAAAAACTCTATTTCTCGTCTTTCGGAAAATGAGAAAATCAGTTTTGCAAATTTTTAGAAAACTCACATCAGATCCCTGTTTGAGACAAATGAAAAACACAGTTCCAGTTTTCTGAAGAAGTCCTCTTTTTTACAGTATACCATCTTGTGTGCGTGTTCTAGGTTGTTTGAATGTCAATAAACTTAAACCATTAAAAAAGAGCTCAAATGTAAATGTAAATACATAACCCACAGTTTCTACAAATATTATCCAATTTATAGTAAATCTCGTCCTGATAATACGATGAACATTCACTTCGATTACGATTTTTACAGAGACATTCATTATTTCTATATAATTCAATATTTTCTAATGATCATATACTCATATTCGATTTCTGTTATTCAAACACAAAGACTTATTTTCTAATTTAATTATCACCTGAACTATGGTAGTGAAATCAAAAAATCGTACATAAGAGAGAGATATTTGATGATATTTGCATCCGTTGTTTCATATGTATATAGAATCATCGTGCTATCATTATCATATTGGCGATGGAAGTCGATCGTATAATTATTCTGATTTGGTTGCATAAGAATTTAATTTCGATGCGTGTAAACGATGATATGTGATGAATTCGAATAGATTTTATGATAAACGGATGTAAGGGTAATATACCGTAAAGAGTAAAGCCTAATTTTTCCTTTTCGCATCTGCAACCTTCGAGTGCTTTTGGACAAATACATGAAAAAAAATCATAACCAATTGGCGTTGGTAAAACATGAAATCGAAAGTCGTAGCAAAAAATACTTTTCAGAAAAAATCGATCAGAAGAAGCGTGAGTTTCTTGTCAAGAATACTCATAGAAGGAAAAATCATGAAATAAAACTTATGACATAGAAACAGTGAATAGAATAAGTGTAAGGAAAAAATGTACGGACTGGTATGTATAGAAGAAAATATGAGACAAAATGTGTGAGCATAGAAGTCATTCACCTTGATTCAGCTTGACAAGAAAGTAGTTGCTCAGAGGATCGATACAATATCATCAAAACAATGTGAATATTTAAGAGCAATTACCCTACATCACTTACCAAGAGAACACCCAGACAATCCGACAGCCATTGTTAAAAGAGAAAATTTATAAACATTTTTATCATTAATGCTTTGTGTGCCGTATACATACATCACCATCTGCTTTTCCATTATGTCTGACAAGTCGAGTTCCAAAAGGCTTGTAATAACTTTTTTTTGCTACTATCTATTTCGAAATAGAATAGTCCGTAACTGCTTCTTGAGTAAAACGAGAACGATAGTAGATAAAACACTGCGGCATTCTTGAGGGAAAACTTGACCGCACCTTTTCCTAACTGAAAACATTTTAAGATCTTTTTCTAAAATAGAATTTTCGGACATCTCTAAAAAAGCATTTTAAATCTACAAAAAATTCCAGATCGCACTTCGCTCTATTTCGTTGTTTTCGATTATGCTGAATTTTTTGGAAATATTGGTGTTTTCGAAAAAGGCTGAGAAGCCTACTGAAAACATATTTCTTCGAAAATATGTGGTTTTAAATTTTACTTAATGTTGAAAAATTCATAAATTTCTCAGAACCGATGCAAATGAACTGGAAACTTCAAAATATGATTATAACAGTACATTGTAGTCGATTTTGAAATTTACACATGGTGTAGAAACCAAAGTTCTTCGTTTTGTCGACTGCACTTTGCTTTTATCTATGAAAAACAGCCTACACAAAGAAATATCTATGTAACACAGTGTCTGTGTATGAGCATAAAATTTAGCATGGTCTAAAACCTAACCTATTTCAAGATAGATAGGACTAACGTTTCTATGAGAATTTCTGCAGGATTCCGTGTTTTATTCCACCGAATATAGATTTGTGCTAGGAGAAAATTTAAGAAAATGGAAGAGGCAGGTTAGTCCAAAGTTGGACTTAAGGATTGTTTTTTAAGCCGGTTTGAAGTTCAAGTAAAGTCTATCATATTCAAGAACGAACTCAGTGGAATCCGATTAGGTATAGAACGAATCGAGCGCTCGGAGCGGAGAAAACATGAGCGCACTCGCGCTCGAACGCATTTTACAAGAGCGGGCTCGTTGGACGAGCGCTCGTGCATTGTAAGATATTTTTTTGTTTACACAATAAGTTAACAGTTGTTTAACAGCTAGTAAACAATTGTCTAAACATTTTTTGTGCAAAACTATAGAGAATTCATTTAAATTAGTAGTGACATGCGAGCGCTCGAGCTACGAGCGCGATTCGTTTGTTCCGCTGCAGCCACGCGTACGCGAGCGTCCGCTCGATTCGTCCCACACCTAAATCCGATCCCTAATTTAATCTTATTTTCGTCAGACGTATCTATTTCTTAATTAATTAGCATGTAAATTATTATGTGTATCGGCAAAATCAGTATCGGCTGAACGCGTTTTCTAACGAAGTGGATTTCCTCTGAGATCACATAGAACTACAATGGCAAAATATATGCTTGGACTTTTAATATTGTTAAAATGTAATCTCAGTTTAATTTCCTAACATTTTTTTTCGTTTGTTGCTTTAGTTCTTGTTCTTATTAATATTTAACGCTTTAACTGTATTTTTAATAATCAAGCGTTGTTATCTAACCAAAACATATTCTGTTGTACTTGGAAACGGTCGAACTTCCCCACTTCTGATGTATGGTCAAATTTCTTTCTTGAACGACAAAAGCCGTGGCCTTCTGTCCATCATCATTCTGAACTTATTTGAGAAGCTGGCTTTGGTCATCGTATTTCAGTAGTATTACCAGCAGACGGCACTTTAGTTATAAGAAAAAATGATGAATAATATGAGCACAGTAGAGATCTGCACGGACAATGTCCGTAACCCTACTAAGGATGCTTGTCCGTGCCCGTCCGTGAATTTTTTTCGCATATGAATAGTCCGTATATGAAAAAAAAGATCTCGCCCACGCATGTATATTAGGTTGTCCTTTCTGTAGCATGTCTCTAACTGTCCATATTTCATTCACAAAAAATCCAAATCTTCGTACTATTCTGGTGCTCAAAAACTTTAAAATATCTTTTTGAGAAGCCCGTGCCCGCCGAAGGGAAGCAGTTGCCCGTCCATACCCGTCCGTGTGCCTTTCAAGTGTGCTCGTGGCCGTCAATGCCCGTCCGTGTCTTTTCGAGCCTGCACGTGCTCGTCCATGCCCGCGGGCAGTACGGGCACCCCACGGCTACGATAATTCCCGTGTTCTAGAGCACAGACTTATATGAAAATAGCCTACTAATCAAATTCATTAATCACTAATTACTACGAAGACAATTGTATCGACAAATTAACATTGCCAAACATCGTACATGTCTTGAACCAATAGCTCCGTTAATGTCCTATTTCTAATGTTTGCTAACATACGACATGCTAAAAAACCCGGTCTGCAAGATGGATCATATAAGATAAATGGTTCGGGTTCCAATAATATGTAGAGAGCATTTAGTTGTCATTAATTACCTCATTTACTGTAATTAAATATATTCTGTAGTAAGGACTGAACCGTGAAAATATTTCAGACTTTAGAATTTATAAAAGTAGACGTCAAGTAACATTTATTTATTTCAAACACAGCTTGAAATTTTTTCAAAATATTAATTTTTTTAACACCAATTTTTAAAAAAAATCACACCTGTTGGAATGAATAAAATAATTATAATTATGAAATGTGGGTGTGCCAGAAAAAATTGATAATACAAGTAGGCGAAATATGTTCCTGTCAATATCGACTAAGTGACAAACAACAGATGAAAATTTAGTCATTAGATACAGTATACATTTTTAAGGACTATCTACTGGTGAGAAAAGTTTTCAAAATGGCACTCATAAGCAGTTGTTTGTACTCGGTTTTAGGCAAACGGGGTTTCTACCGTTGATTTCTCAATAGAGCGGCCATGAATGTTTTTTGAGTAACTCGAGAGAGTTCAGGTTTTCGCCATATGTAGTTAAGGTTTTACTCTGTCCTTACATATATTTTGTATTAAAAATCTTAGTTTTTCAGCTAGTGTTCCTGACGGATGAAACGATATAAGGTTGCCATATTCTGAAACTGGAGGGAATTTTTAAATGTAACATGGTGGCTAGATAGCTCAAAGTGTCGTTTACAATTATGAGCAAAGCCGACCTCTGTAGCTGTTATGGTTCTCGAATGGCAGGCATTTTCGTGAGTCACCTGTAATTTGTAAAGCTTAATTAATTAATAACTCTGTCAATAGTCTTGGTACAAAAAATGTGCAGAACAGTCTACTACAGCGGGTAACGTTGACTATATTTTAGGGTTAATGGAAAATTTTTGAAAATCAGACCACATTATTCCTCGCAGTCGGCCATTGCGCAAAATTCTTGTACCAAAAGTTTTTTTTCGCCATACACCGTTTTTGCTTCATTTTTGGCAAGATATTTTGGCAAAATACATAGGAAAAACATTTTGTAACTCAATTTTGATGATTCTTTTACGTTTTGATCCCATAAAGCGGACAAATGGTGGCGTGGCCTATCAAACTGCACAACATATCCAAATATCAGGG